ATCGATGATTCGAGGCGGAGGAGGGATGGGATAGCCAGATATAAGGAGCAGGCGGAACTGGTTTTTTCTGCGCCAGTATCGAGTTTCCATAGTCGAGAAAGAGTGGGCGCAAGTTACGGAAGTATTGAAACGGGGAGTGAGTTACTAAGGTGGAGTCGGGGCCACCGGGAAGGAGCGATGAACGAGGATATGCTCCAGGCCATCTCAGATAGAGTTAGCGCGTGGGGTGACACGCACAAGTCTGGACGAAAATGCCGGCCTAGGAAATAAGATGACGATGAGGACGATGAGGACAGACAGCTCTCGATCCTTGTCGGCTTAGCGGATATCGAAGGAAAGGTAACATCTGGCGTGTGGAATCCGTGAATAGCATTGAATATCCCCGCTGGCTTGGCAGAGATTGGCGCGGTATATCAAGTTCGAGACGTGGTGGGAGGAGAAGGGTGACAGGGTGGCTGTGTCGACTCCGGATCAATAGGTACCCGGACCGTACCCGGACCGTACCCGGACCGTACCCGGACCGTACCCGGACCGTACCCGGACCGTACCCGGACCGTACCCGGTCGCCCGCACCTCTTTCTCCAAGGGGACACCGGCATTCAAACCGGCGACTAAGGGTTGGTTAGCGCGGTCGGCCTGCTAAGGAATCCCGAGAGAGCCCAGGTGTTCAGGTCCAATTATGGTGGATGAACATGTAATCATTTGTACACCACTGATTTCCAACTCATGACTCGATTTCGCTACTCATTCCGGTTTCTGACCACTAGGTTCAATTTGATTGCATGAATGATCGCATTTTTGCCTCGCAGGGGTATCTTACCACACTGCTGAGACATTCTACCCTCCAAAAAATGTCTCCAGGGTCACCAAACTGAGATCGATTTTGCCCCAGAAATGGGACTTGAACTTTTTTTTTTCCGGCCTCGCGGCCGGACTACTATCACGCGCTGGGAAGCTGGCCACATGGGGAAGCTGGCCACTTGCCAAATATAAGGACGACTGCTACTGAATATTGAAGGCTCGGATTCGGGGGAGGGAGTAGGACCTCTGACGCCCATGTATGCTAAATTTGGACGCAAAATGATGAGTTGATCGAAAATTGTGGCGCGTTTGATTGCGGGCCGAAGGGTGAGAAAATCATTTCCTTAACTCCGAGTGGCCATCTCATTTATATCTGCTCATATCTCCACCAATTCTTCGTCAATCCACGACTTCGGGGGCTCGTTCTTCTCGGCTGATCTCAGGCTTTCTCTTGAGAATTAAAAGACCTCCAGAGCTGCACGATTTCTATATTAAACTCGGACATATGATTGCGATACGACTGTGAGTACCCCAACACGGCGACCCACATAGCAAAAGATTCTTCCACACTACGTGTCTAGCACTTTACATGGGCCATGATGATGATCAAGATTTCATTTGTACATGTATGCCTTACAGCTCTTTGCAGAACTTAGGGCGCGACTCAATTTTTTCCCTTTTTTGGCACTTTAAGCCGTACTGGAGGTTGAGCCGTAAATCTGAGGATGCAGTTAACTGTGCACTTGAAATACGAATCGATTGAGCCTATTCCCAAAGAAAAAGACGGAGAAATGAGGGTAGAACAGCTGTCCTGCTGAAAAATGATCAAAAATGATCAAAAGTAATTGCTTTCGCCGCTCACAAAGCAGTTCTCGGTGTCATATAAAAATTCCGAGGAGGCGGTTAACTGCGTATTTGCGATACGAATCGATTGAGCATACTCCCGAGGCGAACGGCCCAGATCTGAGGCCGGGGCAGCTGTTCTGGTCCAAACCATCAAAAAAGTGCCCAAAAAGGGAAAAAATTGAGCCGCGCCCTAAGTTCTGCAAAGAGCTGTAATTCTATTTATTTAATACCTCTCTCAATCTCGTCCGATACGCTAATACCCCGGTTTTCCGTGGTAACAAAGTTTAAATGTCGGGTTCTCAGAAGTGCGACTCAAATATGGAACAGATGGTCCAGGTGCATTCAGAACAAGTAGATAAAGTCACCTGCAGCTTATTTTGGCCAAGCAGGCCCTCTCACTGCCGCGCGGCCCTCATTTGATTAGCAATATGGATCCCGCCGCTCATCCTTCTCATCAGAGGCACCCAGTACTACCCTTTTTATGGGTCCAGTGTAACATTTTAAGGGCTACATTATATCATCTACATCACCTGAACATTATTATACACTTTGAAGTTATTGATTGAGCCGGCAACAATGGATTTGGGCAGGTGGCCAGGTACCGTGTCAATTGCCTATCTGGGAGTTTTGACCGAAATAAATTCACCACACAGTCAAAACATCACCAAAATTGGCATAAATGGGCTTCACTTGTTCACTGGATTAACACCTACCATCTCAAGCCCTCGGACCCTCCGAAAGACCTCAAAGGGGTTAGTAATGGTCGAAAACTGCTAAGGTGGCCAGGTTCCCGGCGGTTGATAGTAAGTCTTGAGTTGTTGCTGTTAAACATCTTCGAACAGATTCAAATATTATTATTCAACATTGGATAGCTCCTGCGAGGCTCCCAACGCATTTGGGATGTTTATACAGCATTAAGAAATTTGCTGTGGTGGTTTATGGTCAAGTTAGTCGATCTCCAGCGACTTAAACACGTGCAGATTACCTGATATGGATCGTGGAAACGCTTACGTAGTTAGTTAGTCCATCGCTGAGGTCCAGAAAAAGAAAATCAACCCTATATCTTTTTTTTTGAATGCCGGTGTCCCCTTGTCTTTCTCTCGACTTTTGCCTTGGCCATGCTACACGATCCATTGACGCAACAGGTTCAGCCCAGGATACTGACCACTAGCTGCTTGGGACACACCGGCGTGCCGAGCACCCGAGACTGCCTTCATCGCGTGCCAGTGCCACCACTCACAATCCCGTACTATCACTCGTTCGGCACTCTTTCCAGAAAGCTTACTCTTCGTCGAGCAAACTGTCTTGCCATCCCCAGTGTATCCTTTGTTTGTTTAGAGGGGTATTGTGCATAAGGCTCACTACTACTACAGGACTACACCTTCCCTGTGCGGACTCTGCATTCCTTGTGCAGCGCGCTGCGCGCAGTCGGATGGTCTTGGCCAGTATTCAGATGATACCAATACGACGGGACCGACTCGCATTCTCAACACGCAGTCGGAGGATGTAGATACCAACTACTTACTTCGTAGTATCCGACGACCAAGACGGCTCCTTCCTTCCCGGCGCACGCGCTGCACTCCCTGTGAAGCCTTCTCGACCTGTAGTCTCTCAATACTGATGCGATCCCATTCGACGTCCAGTCAAATCATCTCGATACCCATACGTGCACCAAGGATGGACTGAGCGCAGGCAGCGCTGTCCTCGCGCGCGGTGTGTTGGTGATACGTGGGTATATCCACTTCACTTAATCCCCGTTCTTCATGCCCGAATTGTCCTGACGCCTTCACCCTGGGATTTGCGTGCGCTCAGTGTTGAAAAAATCTTGAGTGAGATGTTTCCTTGTAGCTCCTTCATTTCCATTGAAATTTAATCTTTTTTATCTACGCTCGTCACCGCCTAGGTTTGCTAGTAACATTCTCCCTTCTAACGGTGAGAATGCACACACTTCTCAATTCTTTCTCACTCATCGCCTAGGGAACCCACAGAATATTTGGAGGTGGAACGCCGCGAGGCTCTTTGCTCCAGTGAACATAAAATCCTACTCGCAGTCCAGAGTTCGACTCCGCTCGTCTGAATGACACACTCGCTACAGTTTTTTTCTTCTCCCCACTGCTCTGATTTATATTGACTCAGTTCACTCTAGGGTGTAACAAGAATTTTATACGCTTGAATCCCCGTATCCGAATGCCTCGTGTTGCTGGTCTTGGAACTTGTAAACATGGCACAATGCCGCGCGCCCGAAGTTGAACAGAATCTCTTTGTGTTCAACTCACCGTCGAGCTGTGGTGCACAGTGCATACTCGTTGTTGGGGTTCGGCCAGGCGCTGGCATTGGGAGTATATAGATCCCGATCCCCTTTGCATTTTGTGGCCACGTCTTGATGTACCGGAGGTGCCTGGATGGATGTTTATTGTCACGCCCAGTCATTCCACTGCTGTCCAATTCGAGATCCTCTTTAGCACGATCGACGTATCTGTGTCTGCGGGGCCGCGTACAGCTGCTGGCGACAGTCAATTTCAATATGCTGGTCAGACGGTGCTCACATCTTCCCTCAAGCCGACACAGATCATCGGACGTGGTGTGTGCAGCACAACGGTACTCTATGCACCCTAAGCTCGGGTAGCCACCCGCGGGGTTTCGGCCAAACACACACGCCCACTTCATCCAGATATACAGGAATCCAATGGGTCATCTTGCACGCATCTTTCCAGCGGTGTGTCTCTAAATTACGGGCTCAACTCTCTGTGTCCGAGTCTCCTGTAGTTTTCAATTCACCTTTATTCTCTTCTAGCCCTGCTGCTTACCGTCTAACCTGCACCTCGTACTCGACTCCCAGCCTCCAGCTTTTCATGCTCCGCTCCTTTTTTCTCTCATTGTTTTAGACCCTAGCTCATCTGCATTATTCACTACATTTTGATGGCCCCTCGGCCAACCTGCCACAGGGAGGATAACCAAATAACCCATGTTGAAACATTGAAAAGATATGGAGAGACTATTTTCAATAACTTTTGCATGTCTGTTCGCCAGCGGTGGAGGAAGTATTCAAAAGATACTCAAAGGATATTCTAATCTAAGAATATCTTTTGAATGTGTTCAGCGTTCTCCAGGCTCAAGATACACAAAACTCATTGAAAATATCTCTTCCATATCTTTCCTATATTTTGGCAAGAGTTATCTGGTTATCCTCCCAGTGCTGTGCGATGTCGGCTGAGGTTGGCCGAGGTTGGCCGAGGGGCCTCGGCCAACCTCAGCCAACCTCGGCCAACCTCAGCCGACATCGCACAGGTTGGCCGAGGGGCCATCCAAATGTAGTGATTCTGCCTTACTCTGGGAGTTTACAAGCATGCTAATCGGGCATGGTGCATGGAACATCGCGGGGCTCTTTAGGAAGTCGTTCAAAGTGATATGCCACCCCGCGGACCGGGGTTCGACTCCCCGCGCCTGAATACGTGTGGTTCAACCGTACCAGTTTTTTTTTTTTCATTCCACTCCTCCAATGTTGATTCTCACATTTCTATCTTCCGGTCGGTCTTTGATCGTTGCAACCGCGTCGTTCTTCCGGTCAACACTTTAAACTTCACCTCAAGTGTGTTGAAGTCAATCAGATGGTGATTTATTCCAGGATACCCCAGTGCAATGAATCGGACGTGGTGCATGGAACGCAGCGAGCTCATTTAAGCTTTAACAGAGACGCTACTCGCAGTCTGGGGTTATGATAGCGATTCATCGCAGTACAGCTCGGGCCAGCTCGACATAGAGCTAGACGATGTCGATATGGAGAGGGATACAAAGGAAGGGCTGAGCATCTCAGAGAGCAGCATCCTTGATGGGCGCAGCATGCTCTTCGCGTTCGCGTGCGCAGCGGCGTGCGTCCTCGTTGTCGGTGTGCTAGCGGGCGCCAGCGGTGGGGAGGCGGTAGTTGGGTGGCGGAGGCCGCTCAATAGGTGTTAGTTCGTTTAGGCGTCCAAACCCTGGATTTGCTCCCAACTTTGCTCATCTCGACCGACCGCATCGACACGCAGCTCGCTGCCACGTCTCGATGGGCAATCCCCCGACTTCCGTTGATTTTGCTGTTACGTCTCGGAATACAATCGCCTCTTCTTTCGGCATCCATCCACGGTGACTCCTTCGCCTCCATTCTCGTCCCTCCGCATGCTCCATCCCATTCGGGACTCCTCCACATCATCGGCTGTCCGCATCCATCACCACTCCGCGTAGCATTGCATTGTATTTCTTGTACTACACATTTCTTTTTTCGACCTACGGGCAAGAAGGTGCACATCTCGTAGCTAACGCAGATAATGAATCGGACATGGTGTATGAAACACTGCGGTGCTCGTACAAAATTCCGAATTGTTTGGAGCTGTAGCTCGCGTCCATCTGATCAATCTTCAAGTTGGATACGCTCTAGTTCCCCACTCTTTCGTGGATTCTTGCTCAGTATGGGAAATTACAAGCATAATAATCGGGCTGGTGTACGGAACACCGCGCAAAGGGATGATTCTCAGTTAAGATGCTGCCTGCAGTCCGGGGTCCGACTCCCCGCATCCGAATAGGGATCTCGCTGCAGGTCTTTTTTTTTCTACCTCACTCACTGATTGATCCAGACTTATCTATGGCCCAAATACTGTGTGAAAACCTGTTCAATGATCCCTCCAACTCCAAGCATTATTTGGAAAATCAATATGGTCTGTCAAAAAAAATGAGAATACAACAGGGTATCTACATGCTACGCAACTATCAAAAGTCAGAAGTCCAGACACTGACCACACCAAGATCCATGAAGAAATTGGATGTGATCCTGCAATTCGCCAGAGAGAGTGAGAGAAGGAAGGGGTATATCCTGCTAACAAAGCTAAAAACAGAAATTGCATTTGAAAACACGTAAATGACTTGAACCAAGTTAAAAGAGCTGGGAATGGCTATCTGGGAAAGAGGGCAAAGGGAAAGGCATATCCAGCTATCAAAGCCAAATAAATTCAGAAACACAACACAAATTTCCACCAAATAGGTAGTACTTATAGGAAGTCATAAACAAAATCACTGTCCAAGCAGGTATACCAGGGTTTTCTACTGAGACAGGGTTTCTCCTGATTCTAGAAAGCTGAGTGCTCTGCTTCAATATTGAGTCACGTCCTTTGAAATGGGCAGCTCATCCACTGACATGGTAGGTGTGTCTAGCTTACTCAAAAGTGTAGGTAATTTCTGGTGTCTGTATGATACCTCTTGCCCAAGCAAGGCAAGTCTGGTGTCAATTTGGCCCATGTCCTTTGCTTGCGATGACCGTTCAAACAGTGGGTGGGCTGATTTCCAAAGATCTTCTGCCTGTACCAAATCTCCTCTGTTCCTTGCAATATCTCCAAGACAAAGCAGGCACTCGGCTCGACTGCGGTGGATGTCCATATGGGTGAATGTTTCCAATGCTACAGTGAAAAGACTGTATGCTGTGTTGGAATCTCCTTGTGTGAGAAATACATCTCCCAGGAATTGAAGTGCCTTGTGAAATTCCCGTTTACTTTGTCTTCCTTTGGCATACACCAAATATATCACTGTCCACCTTGAGGCCCATTCAAAGTCATAGGCAGGCCACTGACTCGTATCTGCAAGACTCTCCAGACATAATAGTGCACCCTGATGATAACTTTGAGCCATTGAAGTGAAACACTTTTGGAGTATGGGTTTTGCAGTGTCAGGCTTGTTCTCTCTGATATTAAGCTGTGCTAGCAGGATGTCACAGTAATTTAATTCAGATAGAGTTCCCATAGTAGTGAAGATTCCTCTTGCTTTTTCCAAATTCTGGTGCACATCCTGAGCATTTTCACCAATCCTAATATCAATCTCTGACAGATTGACGAGGCTACAAGAATAGGTATCTCTGTCCTGAGTATTGCAAATAATTTCAGTGTGGATGCTGCGAGCTTCAACATATTCTGATTTTAGAAGATGTGTCTCCGCTTCATGAGTCATAATATTGTGATTCATAATGCCTTGAGACATCCCACAAAGCTCCAGTAGCTTTCTTGCTCTGTGAAACAAAAACAGGCTATTTTTGTAGTCACCAAGGGCTTGGAAACACATGGCCTCAATACCCAGGGCACATGATTCGTATTGCAAATATGCAGATGACTGGGCCAGTCTTTGTGCCCTACAAGCATGTATTTGAGCTCCAGGATAGTCCCCACTACGATACAATATCAAAGCAAGCCCAATAAATACTGAGGACTGTTGCTTCTTGTTTCCGCAGGAATTTGCCAGGATGAGTGCCTGATTAAAGAATTGGGTGGCTTTGGATATATTCCCACAAATGGAAAGATAATATTCTCCGACTGTATCATAGAACTTTGCTGTTATAGATGTTATTAAAATATCCATTGAAATCATTTAACAAAAGGCTCACACTCAAGGAGTGGCTCATTGAAGTTAGCAAAGTGACATAAAGCTTGAGCAATCAACTGTTCGGGATTGAGAATGGAGTGGACAGTCCAAGATCTAAACACTTCTATGATAAATGCTGCCTCTAGTCTGTCATCATGAGCAGAAGAAATAATAGCAGGGATATGATCCATCAATATATGATGACCATATCCAGCTACTCGGCTGAAATGGTTCAGAGAAATAGCACAATTTATTGTATCTGCAAGATTTGTGTTGTCTTGCTGCAATCCTCGCAGTAGTACTTGATGTAGGTTGCCCAGATTTAAAGTTATTTGGTTGAGCTGTCCTACTGCCTGCTGTGATCCACCATGATTCTCAGACACATCCAAAAGAAGATGGAAGTACTTTTCAACTTGCTGAACCAAAGGTTGTGGGGCCGGGCAGAACTGCTGCATATGTTCCCGAATAGGTACCAATGACTTTAGCCGTTTCCTATCATCCTCATATGCCAGCGAGGTCCCGAGTAGCATAGATTTGCATTCCAACAGATTGTGTATGGCAAGCTTGCTTTGGAAAAGCTCAGCATCTGAGAGGCCATCTGGGAGAATTGAAAGCAGGCTCAACAAATCCTTGGCACCACAGCTTAGCCGAGGACTCAAAAGCGAGATTGTGATGGATATATCCAGGTTTGACCTCCTATCATGACCATCAGAAAGCAGAGAAGTCTTCTCTGTCTCCCAACGAGCCAAGACATTCTCACATCCTTCATGATCCACAAGATGGGCCATGAGATCCACTGCTAAGGGCAGGTTGTCTGTGAAAGAGAGAAGCTTGGTAATGTCCTTGCTATCATGGAAATCCTCAGCAATAGCAACAAATGTTTGATGAGCTGCATCATCTGATAGGGGCTTCAAAGGCTGCAGAAATGGGCGAGTCCAGTGGACTTTGGCTGGTCTTTCTGCACCTCGCATAGTTATCTATCGTGGGGTGAGTGGAGGTACAATTGCAATTTGACATGTACATACCATAAGTGCTAGATGCAAGATGTCTGTAAGACTTGATAAAAACTCTTCAACACCACCACGAGACTCTATTGGCTCCCACAGAGTTTCCAGATTATCAAGAACCAACAGTGAAGGACTGCTGTTAGAAAAGTAGTGTACAACTGGCTTTGTAAGGTCCTTCCCTGGCTTCAATCCTAGATGTAACCCAATCAGTGCTGCAAGTTCAACGCTGGTGCTAGCAGAGTCAGCAGCCACAAAGAAATGCTGCTGATATTTGGAAACAATGTCAGAGTGGTGCAGAGCAGCTTTGGCAAGGCTGGTCTTCCCCATTCCTCCAGCACCTAGAATTGCTATCCTTGCAGGTTCCTGCTTCAGAGTGGTCACAACATCTTTGAGCTCTGAATCCCGACCATGGAATATCTTGGGCTTTGCAGGCAACATGGAAATTGAGTTTGAGCTTGGGAAATACATCATTAGTGTGGATGAGTTGGACATGCAGATTTAGTATCACCTATTATGCAAGTCATTATCCCACTGGTAAATCTGATCAAGCAATCAGTTGATGCATCAACTTCAGTGGAGAATCGCTGTACCGAGGATGACTTGTCTGAAATTGTTACATCAGAGGAGGTTGAAATTGATTCAAGCAGTTCCTTGTGGATCCTTTCTGTCTCCCTTTGCATCTCAATGATGTTGCTATGAAGGTTACCAGAACCCTCCAACTGCAGGGAGTTTTGAATACCTTGGTCAACAGAAAATCTAACACACATACCTTGAACATGTTGACAGCCTGTTGCAATCCGGTACAGCATTCATTGAGCAGTGTCTTCATCTCACTCTGACGAAAAAAGTGCTTGATTTTGTTTCCATCCTGTTGTGCCTCCATGAATACATGGACCTTGTGAAGTGTTCTAAGTGAATGATCAGTTGTGGTTCTGACAAGGAGCTAGATAAACAGAAATACTCCATGAGTTCTCCAACAGCAGACAAGGTTGCAGGAGGAAGACTTGATTCAGTCCCAGATTTCAGGTGAAGATTGATGATAGCATAGAGCAGCTCATAGATATTTTCCATGAGCTGGATACATTCCTCTTTATTCTTTCTCACATTCTGAAACAATAAATAAGCCTCATATCATGATTTATGATAGCTATATATTACCTGCACCAGAGTGATCAAAGACAGAGTTGTGTTCGCAATTGCAGGAATAAATGGGGTGCCAAATGCATTGCTGAATTCATTTAGGAGTGGTATGATGGGAGTCAAGCAGGCAACAATGTCATCGAGGCGTGTTTCGGTGACTCTGGGTTTGGGAGGCATCTTCGAAAGGGGGAAGAACCCAAGATCATGAAGTGTCTTATATATACTGCCCACCATCCTCTAGCATCACATCATGATGCACCGGATATCTGCCATTTCCAAATACTTTGCCGAATACAGGTGTGTTTGTTTCACTGCTGTTTTTACACCTTGCACTGCCTCGTGGCACAAATTTTGTTATAATCTCACCTTTTCAGGACTTTAATCAATACTTGCATGCTCTGATCGAAGCCAAGTGCTTCCCACAGCGCCGGTGCGTGAATTCCAAGGGTGATTAAGTTGTTTACACTTCTTAAAATATTGTAAAACAAATGATGCAGCCCGAAAATGAATTTAATATATCTAATTTAGGACGTAGCGAAATCTACATCCCTAATCTAATCTATCAAAAACCCAAATAAAACTCCGTGAAACTTCAAGTATCGCTGCACCTTTTGCCAGCGATAAAATGCAATATTAAAAATACGAAATAGATGACCTTAAAGTGAATTCCAAAATTACACACATGAAGCCTCGATATCCTTGTCAATACTTTGAATTTTGAATTAGATTTCGAGAAAGCCGAAATGAGAAAAATGTATTTTCATTTAAAGGTGCCTGAAACTGGATAGGAAATCTCAGGAATGACAGACCGTTAAACTCATCTGACCGTCTGCAGACAATCTGTAGAGGGGTTTAACGGCCTCTTAGTCTTGAAGTTTCTTATCCAGTTTCAAGTACCTTTAAATGAGAATCCATTTTGTTTCTTCGAAACCTAATTCAATTTTCAAAGTATAGACAGGATATTGACAGGGTATTTTTAATATTGCATTTTATTGCTGGCGAAAGGTGCAGCGATACTTGAAGTTTCACGGAGTTTTATTTGGGTTTTGATAGATTAGATTAGGGATTAGATTTCGCTACGTCCTAAATTAGATATATTAAATTCATTTCCGGGCTCCATCATTTGTTTTGCAATATTTTAAGAAGCAAGAACCACACTCGCAGCACCGATGTGCGAGTCAAAATCGTCTGTCCCCGCCGCCCCGTGCATTGATAGCGCTGATGATGCGCCTGCTCAGCTATGCTCAGGTTCGCGATCGACGTCTGAGGTCCGCTGGGAAGAGGTCTGCGCGAATAAAAGCAGTTAGCATATGCGAGAACGGGGTAGAGGGAAGAATGGGAGGAGGAAGGAGGGGCGCGGGGCGCGGAGGAAGAGTGAGCGTGCGGACGGACGAGGGAGAGGCGCGGCGAGGAAGTCAGCGCGCGAGAACAGATCAAGTCCACCGCGCCCAAAAAGATCGAAACGGTACCAAGAACGTCAAGAGAAACCCCACTCCCAACGAACGCGCGTATTCGCCTCCGCTTGCCGCCACGCCGTCCGACGTCTGGAACTACGGGCAGTTCAGGAGCGCGAATGTGAGCGTGAACGTGAACGCTCCGTGCAACTGGGCTACCGCCGTCTCAAGAGTCGTTGTAGCCACGGCAGCCTGCCAATGGCGGGCGGTCTTTGCTGGCCTTGCCACCTTTGTAAGGGTGGTAAACTTAGTGAGGAGAAGAGAAAGAGGAACGACCCGGACATCACCAAAAGTGTCCGAAACTGGCTAGGTCTCGTGACTTTGACAAGGCCCATCAAGGACAATCCAGGCCTTGGACGCGTCTCCCAAGGACCTTACGAGGGCACTTCCAGGCTACCCGACGTTTGCGATGCTGATCCAAGCCTCGCACCACCATCCAAAGCACTCTCCACGTCGGCGGCCCTTCCATAAAATCCAGCGCGCCCAAGAGCGTATTACCCTCGACCCTGTCTTCTTCCCATCATCATGGCCCCTTCCTCTGTGCCCCGCTCTCCGTTCTCACCTCCGCCTCCAGCTCCGCCTCCTCCTCCGTCTCTTCCTCTGCGGCTCCGCTGTCTCGATGTACCACCACTTCAAACGCAAATACGACGACGCCGCTTCCGATAGTCCGAGTCGCAAGACCGGCCCCGCTGCCAAGTACGTCCGAGTCGCATCCCACAAAGTTGTCTTGATTGCTTCAGAGAGAGTCGGAGAGTCGTTGTGGTCGCCAAGTAAGTACTGTGTGCTGCCAATACATCCACTGGCATGCCGTCTGACCCTATCCCTCTACCAGGCTAGCCACTCCTTGCCAGGATGTTCTCCCAGGCCCTCGCCCGCCATTCCGACATCGCCCGTGGGCTACAAAACGCGAGTCCGCCCCAAGTCTGCCTCCAGTCGCGCCTTCCTTCCGACCACTCGTGTCGCCTCCTTCATCTTCGTCAATCGTCTCAAAGCCACCCCTCCCCGCTTTGGCCGTACCAGCCCGACATGTTTGCCGCCGCAGCACCCCTTTTCACGGTCTACGGAACTTGGCACGACAAGTCGCGCTTCATTCAGGCTTCATTCGGGCCATCGTTGATTCGTATCTACCAGGTGTGGTGAATCCCTTCGCAAATTGTTCCTATTGTGCCCCCTTCTCTTGTCCCTTCCCTTGTCCGTCTTCCCGACACTTTCGTCGCCCTTACCACCACGTCATCGCCGCTATTCACCCACCCCGCCTTCATCCGCTCACCATTGTGTCCTTACATGCACTCTTCCTTTCGTCTTTATTCACGCGTCTCCGCCGCCGCTCACGCTCCCATTTCGTCCCAGCTGATATCTCGTCATTCTTCAGGGCTTTTTCGACGTGCTGTACAAGCTCTCCGATGTTGCTGTAGCGGTTTTATCCTGGTACTGCCTGCTCGGCGCCGCCTACGTTGGATGACATGTGAGCGCAGCTTCTTTTGCCCCCCTTTCCTCTCTACTATACAAGTCCTGCCCTTCTGCGCTCAATTCCACCAATGCTCACTCCCTCTCTTCGCGCCAACGCCCACCCACAGTTAGTCGTGCCTCCTGAAGCGTTGTGAGACATCTACATCAGCGTGAGCACTGAATTTAGGGTCTTCTATTCTTGCTGATCTAGTTCACAGTCTGGTCCTTACACTTATTCATGGTCAATGGGTACGTCGCTCGCTGCTTCACTCGGCATTTGGCTCTGTCTAACATTTTTTTATCGACCACTGGCTGTCTTGGGAGTTTCGCAACGGTTGGTTCTAATTCTTCGAGATGCATGCCTTGACTAACTTAGATACATTCTCATTCAGATCACCTCGGTTCTCTGCTTGTTTTTCGTCCGTATTTTCCATCTCTTGTTTATGTTCGGTGAGAATTTCGTTTGACATTTATTTTTTCACCCGCTGAGTCTTCTGTCCAATTATAGGGCAATGCGTTAATCACAAATGTGAGCTACTCCACCATACCTTGTTCTTGTTCCTGACCCGACTTTTTTCAGCGCGCAGAGTGCCTCTTTCCCACGTCATAAATATTCTTGTAAGTCCAATCGTTTATATAGTGATACCGCCGTCTCCCTTGTTTCTTTCAGTTTGTACGCCACCATGTATCCCGTTCCAATAGCTGTCGCGCGCTCGAACTTCACAATAAATTTGTTTTTCTTTATTATTTTTGAACTCGTAAGATACATGAAATGGGACAGTAGGCCTCGAGCACCCTTGTGAGGACCCCAAGGCCTAGCAAGTGTTGCCAGCCTGGGATACCTTCGCGAGGCCTCGGAACTTTTTAAAGGCCCTTTGAACTCCCTCGGAACGCGTTCACAGGGCTAGGTCCCCCTCCTGAGGCCTGGAGACCCTTGCAAGTGTATTAAGAGCCCCTTTCGAGCTTTTTCCGCTTTTGGTGATGGACCAGAGGATGCGGCGACCCCCTGCGAGACGTCGCCCTTGAATTTCGCATCGAGGGCGATGTTGACGATGAGTTTGGTCCGCTCGGTCACGCGGAAAACAGAGAGGGAGGGGCGAACCGCAAACGCGAACGCGGTGCGAAACGCAGCCAGCGCGAGGACGAGCAAATCGTCCGATATTAAGTATCGTCGACGTGGTCAGACCAAGCTCGGCCATGTTCGGATCAATCAATGTTCGGCTTTGTCGGACGTGGTCAATTTCCTTTGACCAGAAATCTTAGTTCTCTCTGCGTCTCTCAAGCATGTCCGTCAGATAGCTCGTCCCTTGCCAGTTGCAGTTGGCAGCCTCCGAGTGCTGGCTTTCCACGGCCGCATGTTTAAGCGACTACTTGGAGTTCCTCAAGTCAACCGTCGACTCCTCGGTTGGCAACTTGAACATCTAACATCAATCTAGTCAATATTCCTCTTTTGCCGCTCCCGCCGTATCTCCTTTTCCCTCCGATATCCAATTTTTTATTTTTTCTAATTTGCATTAAAGAACTGTCCAACATCCGTGTTCAAATGATCTCTGCTTTCCACGCAGGACTTTTCTCTTATGTATTCTGTTTCGATATTAACGTGATAATCGGGTGTGGTGTATGGAACACAGTGGGGCCTGTTGTAAAGAAGCAACAATCGCTACCCGTAGTCCGGGGTTCGACTCCCCGCGCCCGAATAGCCGCTCCATTCTTTTTTCGTTCATCCACTCCCTGAATTCATGCGGTGGTTCACAGTGCAATGCATGTACACTGGTTCATGTAAGTACGAGGGATGATCAGGTTCAAATCCTGATTTATTGTGGAACTAGACAGGGCTGAAGCATGGGACGTTGTGTGTGGAAGACAACGAGCTCCGGAATACTACGCGCAGTCCGGGGTTCAACTCCACGTGTCCGGATCTTTGACAGATATAGCTTTCTTTTTCCACGCAACTTGTGCGACTGGTTTACAGCTTTTCCACTGTTGATAACATTTCCTTGCTGGAACACCTCCCTCACTTTTTGTTTCCTTCATCCCGCAGGGAGTTAACCCTAGACGAAATCGGACGTGGTGTATGGAACATCGCGAGGCTTCTTGATCAATGCCGATGAAAAGATCTCACCCGCAGTCCGGGGTTCGATTCCCCGCGTCCGAATATTTGTGCAAGCTTATTTTCTTTTTAATGTATCCAGCCCATGCCTGCAGAGGTCGACTCAGCTACAGTACACACTGCGGAGGCTAATAAAGAACGTGATGGATGGATAGTAGGCAGTCAGCCAGTCTTTCCGCAACTGGTAGGTTTAATCTTACTGTCTATGAAGTTCAAGCCTGGTCTTTCGATTGCTGCGGCCGCATTCATAGCAGCAGCCTTCAGCGATATAATTTTGTCCGCGGGTGAGCTGTGAGCCGAGGTGGTACAAACGTGTAATGTATGTACAGCTAAATTTATCAGTTTATTTGTGACGCATAGTTGTGAGATTTTGCGCTTGATATGCTGGTTTACTGTGGGATTCAGGAGGAAAAGGAATCGGACGTGGTGTATGGTACACAGCGGGTTCCTTTAGCCGCTAAAGCAGTTAGATATTACCCGCAGTCTGAGGTTCCCACCGCCAACCCCCCACAATGAATACCACGCCTATCCCTTACACCGTAGACGAATTTCGTGTCCTTTCGCTGAATACCCACAAGTGCTACAATGTCCTTATCTCGCTTCTCAACTCCACCGACCCCAAGGACTACAACGTGCTATGCATCCAAGAGCCCCCCCCTGATCTGAACAAATTCCCGTCGCTCTCTTCCCCTCACTGGGATCGCATCCTCCCCACATTCCGCACCTCCTCCCCCGACACCCTACTATACATCAACAAGTCTATTCCTTCCTCCTCTTACAGTCAGAATAAGATTAATTCATCATTTGTTACTTCCATCTTTCTTACATTAGAATCCCGATTAATACACATATTTTCCCTCTATAATCCGCCCACCTCAGACGACTCCCCCATTCGTGACACCGCAAACGTCATCGCGTCCCTCGATCCCCTCCCTCCCTCCCACTCCCTCCTGATCCTTGGCGACTTCAATCGGCACCACCCGCTCTGGACGGGCCACCGCTTCCCGCACCGCACCGCGAATAGCGACGCGACCGTCATCATCACGCTCATGACGAAGAACACCCTCACCCAGCTAGTAAAAGCAGGCACCCCAACGTTCTACTCCACGCCGCACCACACCTGGTCGACCCTCGACCTCGTCTTCGCCTCCAAAGGCGCGCTCGCGGATAGCCTTGTGAAATGCTGGACGTTGCACGGCCACGGGTCAGACCACAAGACGATCCGAGTCACCTTCGACGTGACAGTCGTGCACCGTGATGCTCCTCTACGCCACAACTTCCGCGCGGCCGAGTGGAAGGACTTCCCCGCTTGCCTTGGGAAACACATCGCCTCCAGGCCTCCCCTCGCCCTTCCCCTCTCCTCACCCGCGGCCATCGACGCATACACCGACTCTTTCACGCAGAGCATGGTGTCTGCCATCGAGGAACTCGTCCCACTCTCGCGCGCCTCGCCCTACACACACCGCTGGTGGACGAAAGCCGTCCTCTCCCCCCTCCGCGCCGCGTACAGCCGCGCGCACAGGGCCATCAAGGAGGACCGCGACGACCCCAGTTGGACAGCGATGAGGGCAGCGAAGAACGCGTACCTGAGCGCGATACCCCGCGAGAAGCGCACCCACTGGAGGCAATACGTCGGCGACGCGCCGAGGGCCAACATCTACAAGGTTTCCAAGTATGCGCTTGACCCCATGAGCGCGTCCAACTCACCTCGCACTCCTGACCTCATCGGCCCCAACGGCGTCACCGCGTCCACTCCAGCGCAGAAAGCGGCTCTCTTCCACAGCAAATTCTTCCCTCCGGCACCGCAAATTCCCCCGCCTCCCACTACTGCGACCCCTCCTCCCTCCCCAGACCCGATCTTCACCATCCAGCACGTCCTGCGAGCGATCGCACGCGTCTCGCCATGGAAAGCCCCGGGACCATCCGGCATACCCAACGTTGCGATCGCAGCGGCGCGGCACATTGTCGCCCCCGTCCTGCTCAATATCCTCGAAGCGGGTCTCCGGCTCGGCCACTTCCCCGACTCGTGGAAGGTGTTCATCACGGCCACCCTCCGCAAGCCTGGAAAGAGCGACTACACAGTACCCGGTGCGTACAGACCGATCGCGGAGGAGGAATGCCTCGGGAAGGTTGTGTAGTAGCGTGCACTGGGTGTTTTGCAGTATATCTGGGACATCAGTATGATCCATAGTATGGCCCATGCGGCGCCTACCTTCGAATTCCGAACCGGCCCATCTTGGCATACCGCGTTATCTGGATCGGTACAGTCACTATCAAAAGTGCATGTCATCGTTTGTTACGCAACGTGGGTGCATCGACCAAGCACGCCGCTGTGATACAATCTACAAAACAGGTTTCCGGAGGCACAACAACTTGAAGATGAAGTGGCTTCAGAGGGCCAGCGCACACAGAGCCAGTTTGGTTAGAACATCCGGGGGAACCTTGGAAACAAGCCTATGCACACCCCAGTTCAATGCTATAAAATGGGGTATTATAGCGGATATTACCCTCCTGTCCGGCACCCTGTTGTGGCAATGGTTGCATTGTTCACCACCAGCGCAATCGGTGTTGCTTGAGCAGCCAACACACCGCTAGAGAATGCTTCAACACGGCGGACCCGGGACGAGTACCGAGCCCATGCATATGCACATACACCATGCTGCGAGCAGAGTTCCCCGAAACGGCAAGGGTCTGTTGTACTGCACTCGGCCGCAGAACAACTCTGGTCGAGAGCGAATGCGGTCAGGAATGGGCGACGTTGGTGGCAGACGCATAAATACCCGGCGCTTACTGTACGCCGTACCAATAACCAAACGCAAGATAGGAACAATTTGGTAGCTGAATAATGAACCGCCTAATTGGACTTTCGGTTCCAAAGCTCCTATCTCTTCGTTCGGAACACAAACGAGCCTCGAGGTGCTCGGTTGCTCAGAATTACTTCGAACGCCATTCACATTGACGTCCATGCTGTTCCCCCTGATTTCTTGCGACTTCGCGAACAAGTCGCAAATACTTCAGAGTACTTCACCGTTAAATCTACCCCGACTACAATGTACGATGAAACCCGGGGACGATGAATCAAAGTGCATCCCTGGAATATTAAATACGTTGTGCGGAACCTTTTCTCTGAATTCCGACCGCGACGGAGGTCCGACGTTCTTCGGGAAGGCACTGCAAAATGTGCTGACCGAGTGCTCTAAGACGGTCAGCCAGAGCTCTGGTGGGAGCTCGGGAGACATGTCCGTGTGCCAGCGAGATCCACGGCGCATAAATAAGTAACCAGCGCAGTTAAGCGCTTCCTATCACCGAAATATCAGTATCGGTCTCCGCATAGCATAGCTAGTTTCATCTGTCAATTCAATATAGTCGGACGGAGTTTTGGTAGTTGAAAAATGAACCGCCTAATTGGACTTTCGATTCCAAAGCCCCTATCTCTTCGTTCGAAACAAACGAGCTTGAGGTGCTCGGTTACTCAGAATTACTCCGGACGGCATTCACATCGACGTCCGTGTTCGTTGACACCGGCCGAACCTGATTTCTTGCGACTTCGCGAACAAGTCGCAAGTACTTCATCGTTAAATCTACCCCGACTACGATGTACGATGGGGGACGATGAACTTCAAAGTGCATCCCTGGAATATTAAATATCTTGCGGACGTTGTGCGGAACCCTTTCTCTGAATTGCGACCGCGACGGAGGTCCGACGTTCTTCGGGAAGGTACTGCAAGATGTGCTGACCGAGCTGCCCAGATGAAACTTGAGATTTCTGTGCAACAGCGGTGCAAATGACTAACAGGCACATAGGTTCGGGGCCAGTATTCACAGCAATCGACGAGGTTTATAAGATGCAGGTCCCCACACGGCGCACCCACCCATCCATGTCGGATAAAGCCTGTCCATCCACGGTGATCGTTCCTCGCTCCGGCGGTGAAATTGTCATTCGGCAATTTCAGCTGAAAGATGCCTCTCAGGTGCATTCTTTGCTTGTGGAAGGCCTTGTATATGGTCGTGAGTAAAAAATTTTCGCATGATTATTCTCTTATTTACAGTCTGATTCAGCGGAATCCCCTCGTAACACTGCCTTGCACAGAAACCTGTACAATCCCATCTCCTGCATGTGCTATGTCGGCTTTGCCCTGGGGCTGGGGTGCCTGTGCATGAACAATCCCGTTTTTCAATTGGGCGGTGTCGCACTCTGCCTCGGGGCCTCAACGCTCTTTTTCTGTGTGCGCACAGCAATTACGAAAATTTTCGTGAATTACTGTTCAACCGCACGAAACACAGACATGGCGGACATCCCTTCGTCCTATGAGATACCTCCCTCTCCCTCCATGAGCGACCGCAAAGGACCGCCAGCCCAAGGACCCGGTGGCTTCTGGGTCGCTGTTATCGAGTCGCCGGATCACAAAACCTCGGAAGTAGTTGGCTATTTAGGACTCGGTATGTCCACTGCTCGTGCTGATTTATCGGAATATTAAGTCGATGGGCAGATTATCGTGTCAACCCTGATCCGTCCGCCGGCGAGTTGCGCCGGATGATGGTATCAATGCACCACCGCCGGCGGAAGATCGCGTCTCTGCTTATAGCTGCGGTTCTGGACCATGCACAACACCTCTCCCCTCCCCTAAAAACGCTCGACCTCGAGACAACAGAGTTTCAACCCGGGGCGCGAAAACTGTACGAGAGTTATGGGTTCTCCCTGGTTGGGTCACGGATTATGCGTATGGGGCCATTGTTCTCCATGACGATGCTTCGCCTTCGTAGAAGAGTCGCAGAGTGAGGACGTCGAGCTGAAATTGCCTTGCTAAAACTACATTACGAAAACGCCTATTTTACATCGATAACCGTCAATTTCATCCCTCAAAGGGTCGAGGATCCAACTGCTGTGACATTTCCCATGGTACACATTCAGATTTCCCAGGGACGGGCAACACTGACATTGAATGAAACAATAAGACATACATCGCAAAGAAAATAATTTACACACCGTCCCCCATTTCCCACTGCAAGTAATCCAATCCATCGAGTATGGAGTCCACACGCTC